AGGACGTGCAGGCTGCCTGCTCCTGGCACCCAGTGCTGTCTCCTGTTGTTCAAGGGCTCCTCTCATCTGCCGCAGCAGCTGAAGTTCACGACCTCCGACTCCTGCGACCGCATCAAGGACGAGTTCCAGCTCCTGCAGGCCCAGTACCACAGGTACGTGCTCCCGCACGCAGATGGGCCCGGCTTGGATCTGCCCCGCAGCCTCCGCTGTGCTGGCAGGCAGCGGCACGACACCCAAGAATCACACTGATTCTTCTGCTTCGTTGCTTCGCTGAATGGACTTGAATGGGAATGTCAAGGAGGGGACCTGGTTGTGTAGCTTGGGTTACCTTTGGCTAGAGGAGGGCCTAAGGCAGGGGATTAGTCACGTCCACTTGGGAGCCCAGCGAGGAGAATGCGTGTCTTCCCTTTCCAGCCGAGGTCTTTCCTTTGAGCACAGCTCGGCCAGGACTGTGCACAGGCTTGCCAGGCCTCCCGTGTCTTGCTGGGAGTTTTCCTCAGTTCTTCTCGCTGGCTGCCTCTCCCGGGCAGCAAGTGCTGCAGGGAGCACTTAAATACAAAAGCTTCCGCTTCTCTGCGGGTGTGTATGGAAATACTTCTGCTGACCCGAAAGCTGGCTTGTGATAGTCTGTTGCTTTGTGTGTCTGAAATAAACATGAAGTTCTTGGGTTAAATTGACTGGGTGATGCCCTCCACCCCGGCCTAGCAGGCTGCGAGGTGCCGGTTGTGGCATGTGCCATGTGGCTGCGACTTCCCCATCTGCCTTTCCTCAGCCTAGGCTCCACTGGGCAGACGGGTCACGGTTTTGAGGTGGTGTCGTTCTGGCAGGAGGAGACGGAAAACCTACTGGGAAGTGGCTAATTCCCAGTGTCTCTGAGCAGTGCCAGTGAGGGAGTAGGGGAGCCCAAGAAACAGTCCTGCTGGAAGGGAGGCTATCCCCCCACCCCCTCGGATTTAATCTGCTCGAGAAGAAGCAAGTTCTGTGTAGGTGAAGCTGTTTCTTGTTTGAAACATAAAACCACAGCACACGCTGGCTGCAATTGCTCAGCTGGTGAGTTGGAATCCCATAAAACACTGGGAGCAGCAGCACTTTCTCTGAAGGGTGTGAAGAGCCTAGGGGACAGAAAAAATCCTTTCTTCTGGAGGGATGTGCTGCACTTGGGCCTCCACCCCACCATCCAGAAATGGATCTGGCTTTGGTTTTGAAGTTGTATCGCAGCATCTCTCGAGTGCTGCAGACAGGCCTCTGCTAGAAGCTGTCCCCAGCTGCCAGCAATCAGTTGAGGAAAGGCAAACCCCTCCTTGGGCAGCCATCTCTGCTTCTGCCCAGCTTTCTGCTTCCCACTGAAAGGATTTGCCTGGGGGACGTTGGTGTCCAGCTGGTGGATAGCCTTGTGCTGCTTCTCCTGAACGTGTGTTGTTGGGACTCCAGCTGGGAAGATGGGAGAAAGCTCTGTTGCAGTCGCCACTGTGCCAGCACAGTGTGACCCAGCTCCAGCCACCCTTTGGAGTCTGGATGGCGGTGTCCAAAAAGACCCTTTGGTGTCCCAGCCTAGCCGGGATGGAAGCAGCTGCTCTGTGGCAATCGACTCTCGCCTCTTGTTTGTGGTTTTCTTACTGTTTTCTGGCTTTTCAGCTTGAAGTTGGAATGTGACAAACTAGCCAGTGAAAAATCGGAGATGCAGCGTCACTATGTCATGGTAAGGACTGGCCTCAGCAGCCAAGAGCACATGGGTGGCGTGGGTGGGGACTCCCACAGTGAGCAGGTGCCTGTGCCTAGGTTTTGCCTGGCGGGGTAGCTTCGCCCCATGAAGCAGCAGGTCTCTAGGCAAGGCTGGCCCTGGTTTTTCTGAAAGCAGGGCTTTTTTATATTTTGTGTTGTCTGCATGCAGTGGATTGTTGAAATGCGGGGAAGTATCAGCGAATTGTTGGACATAGAGAACTGATGAACCCAGTGGCTGACCGCTTGATGGGTGGTGATGGGGTCCTTGGCCTTTCCGCTGACTGGCTACTTGACTGTACTCCCTTGTGCTCTGGGGGATGTGGCAGCTCTTAGGCACCCAAGAAGGAGCTGCAAGGTGCTGGTGTACAGGCGTCTGGGGACTCCATTGAGAGTCGTGGCCAGTGAAAGACAAAGCAGTGCTCTGAGAAATTGTGAAGCTGGGAAACACCACAAGCCTGGTGGAAGTTGGAAGCAGAAACCAGCTGCTATGTGAGAGCTAAACCCTCTGCACCTTCTCGTGACCCTGGCAGTCTTGTGGAGCCATGGTGCAAAGTGCTAGCACATCTCACCAGTGTCTGTGTCCCAGCACAAAGTGTGCAAATCCCAGGGCAGTGCCTGGTAATGGCATGAGGCATAGTGCCACACACAGGCAGCAGGCTTAGCTGTAACTCTTTAAAGAGAAATCCACCAGGAAACAGCCATGTTCTTGTAGGCAGGGTGATTGTTTGCCTGACAGGTAATGCCTCTGTCTTCCCATGCATGGAAGAGCCCTTGTGGCAGAGGGAGGGATGCCAGGCAAGGCTGTGGTCTGTTCCTTTCCTATCAAGGAGCTGACGGGAGGTTGTGATACTGTCCATAAAGATGAGCTGGTGCCTGCTTGCCAGCTGCTGCACCTGCCCTGAAAAGAAGAGATAAGATGTAGAAATTAATACGGCAGCTCTTCAGAGGAGAGTTAGGACTTTAAAACCAGAAATGAGGGAGCTGGCCCCTCCATCATCCTGTACTGCCCAGACTCCAAGACTGTGGGGAGCAAGGTGTGCTTGGGGCTGGGGCCAAGAAGCAGAGGTCACAGCATTCCTTGTATATTAATGGAGAAGCCTGCCCCATTCTCACTGATAAATGATTGGGCCTTGCAGCCTGTATGGAGGCTCATCTCCAGGTGTGGCTGAGATATGTTTTTTTTCCCCTTAATGCTGACAGTCACCAGAATCGATTCAGGTTTCCATCAGCAGGTTGGTGCCAGAGGGGAAGGGCTATTGCTTGCTGTGCAGCACTCCAGGCTTTGCAGGCGCAGCAGCTCCTGCCTCATCTGCATGGCTGAGCTGGAGTCGCTCAGAGCTGCTGTCACTCCCCACCACAGCGAGTCACAGGAAGCAAAGAGGAGGGTTTCTGTTAATGTGCAAAGCTGCTACAGCTGCTCTGATTTTTGAATAAGTCACAATTAGCAGCTTGGGAGTCAGGCTCCTGCTTCCTGCTCAGTCTTCAGAATGCAAAGAAGCCTCGAGAGCTAGCAGTGGTGTTAGAACAGGCTGAGATTATGGCAATACCAAGCTGGGTGCTTCTCAGAGTTGTGGTGTCAGTACCAGAACGCCAGTTGTCATCTCCTTGAATTAGATAAGCACAGATGGGGAATTTTCTTTCCCTGCAGAAGAATCAGGATTGCAACCTGCAAGCCAAGGGAGGAGATTTATAAACTCTCAAACATCCAGGGGTCAGGAATTAGCTTCTGCTGCTAATAGGTTGCTCTGTAGCTGCCTGTTGCTGCTGTGCGGGGTTTTCTGGGTGGATTTTTTTTGTGGGGTTTTTTTTTTCCCCGTAATGGCTTCTTCCCAAACATCTGGAGCTGTGTGCAGCTGGATGTGTTACTTGCTAGATGAAGCCCAGTTGTGATCTCTTCCATTTGCTGCTGAAGCAGCCACGTGGGCTTTAGGATGTTGGCCAGGCAAAGCTTGCAGAGTCTCTTTTGGCTGTGGTTATGGAAGTCTGTGGAGCCCTGAGACTTTTTCCAGGTTTGAAGCAGTATCACTCACTTTCACCTGATGCAGACTGCTGAAAGGTGTCTGTGAGGGGTGTTGCATGGGGCCCAGTCAGCAAGTCCCCAGGTCTCTGTCTGCAGCAGCATGAGACTGGAGCAGGGCAGGCAGGGAGCACCTGGGCTCAGTGCTTCTGCCTTAGATCTGGAGGGTCTCTGTCTGTATTTGCCTCCTGCTGTCTTTGTTTCCTAGGGACAGCCTCTTCTTCCATCCTTGCCCAGCCTTTGTAGAAGACCTTGCTAGGAAAGCAGTAGTAGTTCCCAGCACTGCTGTATGGAGCCTCTTTACCTGGTGGAGACTTGACTTACAATTTTTTTTTTGTTCTCTTCTCCCCCACTCTACAGTATTATGAGATGTCCTACGGGCTGAATATTGAAATGCACAAACAGGTAGGGAGAAGGCATGTCCAAGTGCTCTAATTCCTGGGGAGGGTGGGTTGTCTGCTGTGCCTTGTCCTCTGTCACTTCAGTGGTATTTCAGGAACTAGAAATGCCAGGAGCCCGTAAAATGCCAGAGCTGCCTTCAAAATGCAGGCACTCCCCACCTCTCAGCATTGCAGTGCTGGACTGAGGGCTCCCACCCCAGGCTGCAGGCATGCTCTGGTTCTGCCCAGGGTCTGAATAGGTATTTAAGCACTGGACAAGGCAGTGCAGGTGGGGTGTGGAGCTGTGGCTCCCAGTCGGTCAGCAGATGTGAGCCCTCATCTGAAGAGCCCCCCAAATTAAGTTAATTCATTACCCTCACTTGTGGTGAAGTTGTTAATTATCCCCAGTGGCTAATTACCTGTGCTGTTAACAACATGAGCCTCCTCTGAGCCTGACTCTATCTGGCTTCAGCTTCCAGTGACAGTCATCTGTGTGTCATGGCTCAGTTATAAGCCTCTTAGCACAATTCAGCTCCCCACTCTTTATGCTTGGTGCCTCCAATCCCATTGCCCCGGTTGGTAAGCCCACAAGAGTGGCTTCCCTGGGAAAACCTGCATCTTGGTAAAGGATCTGAGCCACGAATCCTCACTGCTGTGCCATGAACTGTCTCCCAGCCTAGTCCACTCCCCTGACATGCTGGTGGGGCCCCGTTGGCTGGTTTTGGTGCATGCCTAAACCCTTTGGCTCTGTATTTCTTTTGACTCCATTGGAAAGTGATTTGCGAAGGGCTGGTAGCTTTACTCTTTTCCAGGAGTTTTCCCATTTAGCACCCCAAAATTTGCCACCTGCTTGTATGAGGCTAGTGGAGAAGTTGCCCAGTCCCTGTGGTCTCCCTGAATAGCCCCAGTCCTGCAGCTCAGCTGTGGGGAGGCTGGCAGCAGGTAAACACTTGCCTTTGGGGAGGAGGAGTCCAAGAAGGCTGAGCAGCCAGTCTCTGGGGCAGAGCAGGGTTCTCAGCGGAGGCAGCACGTGTGTCTCTGTGTCTGCATGGCAAATGTAATTCAATACATCCCCACCTGGGTCTGTAATAAGTTTTCTCTCTGGTTGCTCTTGACTTCATTAAATGAATATCAGAGACCTGGAAAGGGAAGAGAATATTGAAAACCTGCTCTTTGCAGTCAGCAGCATTGATTCATTTAACTCTGTAGGGAGGGACCTTGGGGGTGAGATGACACACACCCCTCCTGTGGCACCAGGATGCTGACAGCATCTTGCCGGGGGAGCATGTTTTCTTAGGGGCATTCGGGGACTCAGGCCCTACATGGGGAGGGGGAAGGTGGGGCAGCTGGTGCTGAGAGTGGTCAGTCCCAAGCTACCTGATGCCTTTCCTCTCTGTTCTTCCCACCTTCTAGGCTGAAATCGTCAAGAGGCTAAATGGGATTTGTGCACAGGTTCTGCCCTACCTTTCACAAGAGGTGAGTCCCCCAGCTTGGCCTCGGCTCTGGCTCAGGGGCACATTGACGGGGGGAGTGGAGACCCCCATCCTGCTGCGGGGCAGCGAGGTGCCATGGCCCTCCCGCATGGGCAGATCCTCGCCCCTAGTCTGGGAAACCTTGTCGCTTGCTCTCAGCCCCTGTGCAAGACGAGCTCTTCAGGACAGGTTTGGCCTGGAGGCGTTCAAGTAGCCCCACCAGGTGCTGTGCGGTGGCTAATGTGCCTGTCCATCCCCTTTGTTGGCAGCTGTGGACAAAGATGGGCTCTGTTCTTTCCTGCCTGTGATTCGAGTCATTGGCCACTTTTGCATGGGTGGTGGGAGCTTTGGGTGGCTAATTGGGGGAGGAGGGCATTTAAAAAAAATACCTCCATATGGCTCCTCCTTGAGATCTGGCTCCTCTTGCCTCATTCATTAATGCAGCTGATGGGCTCCTCCCACTCCCCTGAGAAATTAATTGGGAGGGCTTGGGAGTTGCTGCCTGAGGCAGGAGGAAGATGAAGCATTTGTAGTGCTGTATCTGTCCATCTCCCCACAGAGCCTAAACTCCACAGCTGTTCCCATGGCTGGTTTTTTTGGTCAGGACTACCTGTGGGATGGAGGCTGTGTTTTTTTTCCCACCCACCTGTTCTTGGAAAAGACAAAGTGGCTTGCTGATCAGATCAGAGCTGCCTAATAACTAAGCCACGACTAAACCTTTTTGCATCTTAATGCAACCCCTTCCCCCTCCCCAGCCCTGTCCTACTGCCAAGATAGAAAGAAAAATCCACTTGCTGGAGTGCAGCGAACAGGCCTGGTTTTCAGAGACCTTGTGCTCTCAGGAGCAAGTACAGTTGTCCTTTATTTTTTAAAGTATGTGATATAGCTGTTTTTCCTGCCTGTGTTTGGAGCAGCCATGCCGGGCTCTTCCACAGCAGCATCTTCCAGCTGCTGCAGTTCGCACCTGGGGTATGTCCCACAGAGTGGTGAGCCGACCAACAGGTTCTGATTTTAGGGTTTGTTTTGTTTGTTAGGGGGTCTCATTTTGTGTCAGGTCTGGGTTGGAGAGGGGATGCAGGGTGAGAGGCATTGCTTGTCTGGCCAAGGATCGCTGGGCCTGTGCAGAGCAGGACAAGGATGAGAGTAAGAGGGGACCTGCTTAAACCTGTGGTGAGGAACTGGAATGAGACAAGCATGCCTCCTTCCCTGCTCCTCGCTACTGCGGGCCTCAGTGGCATGAGGTCCTTGTCACAAAATGAAGTGCGTGCAGGTGTCTCCAGCTGTGGAGTTAACCAGCCTGCCTCTGTGCCCTGACATCTCGGTGCTAGCAGCTGAGATAACGTACGTGTGTGTGTCAGACCCAGCAGGGCTGAGTCCCTGTTCTGCTTCCCTGTGATACTAGAAAATGACCCTGAAATCCTCTGTTCTCTACATACCAGCATCAGCAGCAAGTCCTGGGAGCCATTGAACGAGCCAAGCAGGTTACAGCACCAGAACTGAACTCCATCATCCGTGTACGTGATGCATGTTTAGTTTGGGTTCAGAGGGACGGGAATCTGTGCCTTTGGCCTTCAAGACCAAGCTGGGCAGGGGAGTCATGACCTGGGGATGTGGCCCACATGCTGGGAAGAGGCTGTTCCACGTGCGGTGCTGCAGCCCTGCTGGGATGAGGCTGTGAGTGCTGGGCTGGCCCTGCTGGCATGGGGCTGGTTTTGTCCAGACTTGTTATGCCATGGGCATGGGTTTGCCGGGGAGCGTGGATTCCTGCTCTGTCCCAGCAGGGTGCAAGCAGAGGAGCTTTGGTTTTGGGCAGGAACTGCAGCAGCTTCTTGACACGAAAACACCATCTGTTCTTGGTCAAGGTCGGGAGGTCTTTAACTGCATCCTTGGAGCATGCCAGAGTCTGAGGCCAGATGTCTTGTGGGCTAAGGGCTGTGTGTTGTGCTGGGGACACACTTTTGAGTCTTCTCTTGAAGCTGTTACAGTCTAAGAACTCTAGAATCTCTTCCTCCCCACCCGAGGCTGCGGTGCTTTCCAGGACCCTGAGGTCCCTCATTTAAGCTTGGTTGCTGGCACAGTCTTGTCTGGGCAGCCCAGGCCCTTGGGTGGTTGTCCAAATGCACTCAAAATTACAATATCCCTCTCTTGTCTTCCTGTCTGTCCATCGTTCTTTACAGCAGCAGCTTCAAGCTCACCAGCTGTCACAGCTCCAAGCCCTCGCTCTGCCTCTGACTCCGCTCCCTGTGGGCCTCCAGCCCCCGTCCCTTCCTGCTGTCAGCGCTGGCACTGGGCTCCTCTCGCTCTCGGCCTTGGGCTCCCAGGCTCACCTCTCCAAGGAGGACAAGAACGGCCATGATGGGGATGCCCACCAAGATGATGATGGGGAGAAATCGGATTAGAATGAATGGGAGACCGGGGGCAGGGGCTGCTTGGGGCGGGGGGGGGTGGGTGTTAATGCAAGATGCAGTATTTCTCTCTAGTTGCTGTGCAGCAGAATCGCGGGGGCTTGTGTTTGGTGGCAGCTTGCCAGGCCTGTGCCCATGGGCAGCAGTGCCTGGGGGGTGCCCTCACCGCCATCCCAGCGGACAGGCTGCTCTGCAGCAATGCAAGCGCCATAGCAGTAACCGTGTGGCCGATCATGCTCTCCCTATGCCCAGCCTGGCTTCCCCCATCCCTGCTCCAGCTCTGTCGCAGAGCCGAGCCAGAACCTGGCTTGGGCTGCTCCGGGGCCAGTTGCCCCCTGGCTGTCCTGGCTCCTCGGTGCGTCTGGCTCCCCTCTGCCTGCTGCTCTCTCCTTGGTATTTAAAGATGCCCCTTGAGCCTAACGGTTTCTGCACACAACTCCCTGCTGGGATCCCTGCCCCAAAACCATCTCCTCCCTCCCCAAGCGCTCTTGACTTGTCGCATCGCCCTGGCCCCATCTTCCCTCCGCCCTTCCTGCACTAATAGCAGGCCGGCACCTTGCTGTTCTGCATGTATCCGATCTTAACCAGTCTTGCGGCACCACGGCAGTGCGACGCTCCAGCTGCCGGGGTTGCTCCTTGGCCTCGGGCTGGAGGGGGAGCCTCTGCCACGCGCTCTCCTTGGCATAGCACCTGGCTTCAGGGGGCTCGGGCAGCTGGGCAGAGGGGCAGGCAGACCCAGCGCCTTTCCTGGTCCTCCCCCTCCCTGTGCCCCTGCCCCATGTAGAGGATACAGCAGCTTTCTCTGTTCTTATCTCCGTGCGCTAGCGTGTCTTCTAAAAAAAAAAAAAACCCCAAAAACCCCACAAAAATGGAACAAAAAAATAATAAAATAATAATCTGGTGTTTGTATATAGTCCTTTAGAAAGATCTTGTTTTGCTTTTTGTGTTTAATCACTTGACCTATAATAAGAGGAACTGAAAATGCTGTATCAAGGACGTACAAGCTGTGCCTTTCAAATAAAGAAATAAGAAGGTTGGTTAAAACTGTGATTTGCTGCCTGCTTTCTTGCTGCCTTTTTCAAATACTTCCCTCCCTCTCCTGCTCCCCGCCCTGTAGGGGAATTGGTGGGGGAGAAGAGGTAGCTTTGCTGGCTAACCTTGGACTCTGCCTCGGTTTCCCCATGTGCTGTCATGGCACCCAGCGGGCTGTGGGAGGTGACTGGAAGAGCTGCCCTCCCTCCTCCAGGTGAGCGTGTCCCAGACCAGTCCCTGCCTTACCTGGTGCGATGCGCTGCCCCTCCTGGGGGGCCCCCTCACTGGAGGTTTCTCGGGGGGGGGTTAAGGTTGACACTTCTGGTTCTGGCTTCTCTCCTGCTCTCGTCTCCACAGCAGCTGGAAGAACGAGGACTTTTTTCGCTGCCTGCATCCCACTCTGGGATGTGATCCCTCCCACAGCCTTATGGAGCCATGTGCCCACGCTGGAGCTTTGGCTGGAGTCTGCTGGAGCCAGAGCAAGGAGGATGCCCAGGCAAAGCAAAAACAAACTGGAGAGCAAGGTGAAAGCGGGCGGTGGCAGAAGGGACCTGGGAGCCCTCCGGCTGAAAAGCCAGGAGGGCTGGAGCAGCGTGCTGCTGAGGGCTCACCGGCTCTCCGCTGGAGCAGAGCGGCGCGGTTTGGTAACGCATGGGAATGGGCTCTGGGGGCTGCTGCGGGTCTGCTCTGCCTGTGCGTAATTCCTTTTTCCTGTGGGTGCAGAGGGTAAGCTGCTTCTGTGGCACTCGGCCCCTCTGGAAAATCTGGCCTGTGTTGCTCTGGGGCTGAGATTGCTGTAATGGAATTGGCTGCCAATAATTAGAGCTGTCCTCTGGCTTCAAAGCCTGCTTTGCCCCGATAACATCTTCCCCTCTGTATCTCCCAGGCCAGCTGGAGTGGGAAAATTTCCTTCCCCTGGGAAGGAAGCTCTGTCGGGAGCAGGGAGGGGGGGGTTCTGGTGCCCTGGCTGCCCGGTGAGGTCGGAGGACTGTGGCGGTGCAGATGGGGGCCCTGGTGAAAGCCAGGAGGGGAGCAGCAGCCACTGTGCCCCTGTCCTGCTGGTGCTGGGCAAAGATCAGGCCAAATGCCCGAGGGTGGG